TCATAACGCTCTCTGGGGCATAGTAATACCATCTCCTTGCATTAAATATGCTTTCAGCCTTACAGGATTTCATTAAAAGTAAAAATACCTGCTTCAACTGAAGAAACTGAATCTTTAAGAAGTCAATAAATGCATTCTTTAAACAACGAAAACTTCTACTTCATTGTTAAAATGACAAATTATGTCAATGCTAATATACATTTCAATATTTCATTCCTAGTAACTATTATTCCTCTTATGTGTTTTAAAGTAAAATAATATCTTGTATAGAGATTTTAAGTGTATCAGGCTTTGAACAATGTAACAAAAATGAGTGTACACAGGAAATCACTTGGGTTATTAAATTTATTTAATAATTCCCATATGCCTTTGTGTGACAAATGATACTTTTTCTACTGTGATTAATAATTTAAATAGCATATGGCACTTTTCCAGAAGTTTGTAAACTGTATCATGTTTTAAAGTAGACATGACAGCTATTGATTCAAAATTCGCTATATTAAAAACTTACCTAATGTACTTTTATATGAAAGACTCTAATGTAGTATTAAATGGTTCTGTTATGAATTAATTATGCTTAGAAAATAAATAATAGCATTTTCTGTACCAATATTATCTGTTGATCACAAAAGTAATATTATTGTCAAGTATGTAGCTCACTCTTGGAAAGCTGGTCCAACATTTTAATTTCTCATTATATATCAGGGAAAAGAACTGTATGAACTACAGATGTCCATTGTTTAATAACCCCCAATTTTTGTATATGGAGAAAAGTACAAGATATGGAGAAAAAGGCACAGGAATCAAATCTGATTTTAAATATTGGTCCATCACTTTCTCACTATGTGGTATGGACATATCATTTCCTGTCTTTAAACTTCAATTTTCTAATCAGTAAAATGGTGAGAATAATGTATATTATAAGATAATTTTGAAGTAAGGTAGGTGACATTATGATTACAGTTCAGGCACTATGGTAAAAGATGTAAGATAATCAGTGATGCTTACCAATTTCTGAGCATATTAACTTAATTTTAAGTTACAAAATAGAGATATTTGATGGCTTAAGTGACATAATTTTAAAAGATACTCTGCTATCACTATTCACAATACAGATTTACAATTATTTAAAAAGCTCATTTGTATGTCCCCACAAAAATATGCTGCATTTATTCAAAATATTCAAGCTACCTTTCATGTAGGACTTTGCCATGTTATTAGATGTGCATTAATGTTATAATTTAGCAGTCATGTCTAACTGTGTCATTTTAAAGAGACTGATGTAAATTACCTAAGATTACATTCTGGAAGTACCTAAGGTTTTCTTACTCTTCTTTCACTATTTCAGAATAATATCCTGTAGTCATGAATATTTCTAAGGATTCAAATCTTATTCACAGAAAATGTTTAAAAGCTTCATAGAGGAAAAGTTTTATAAACTTGTGGTCACTATCTTCTAAAAATTGTTGATTTGCATGACAACTTTTGAGTTTCTACTGAGAATTCACAATTTAGGATTTTAAGACACATACAGAGCTCATCTATGAAACTCTTCTGCTTCCTCATTATAGGTTATAACTGTTACACTCTAGTATAAACCACTATCTTAATATTATCATTACATTTAAAATATTGAAATACTCAACATCTCCCACTGATTAACTAGACTCACAAAAATAATGTGGATAATACTCTACCAACCTGTCATTGCTACTAGAACAATAAATTACATAATGTCTTTTATGAATGGTTGTTATAATTGACAGGTTGAATGAGTAGCATATATTTTCAAAATTCAGAATTTTGAAAAATATTAAATAATTTGTTAATATGGAAAATTTAATGAGAATCCATAAATAATTCCAATGATAATTTATCAATAGTTGTTTACTCTTTGTGTACTTGGTTGACTCTGGAATGCAATTATAATATTATAGAATGTGTGATCCCCTTTAAAATGAGAACAAAGTCTTTCAGAAAATAGAATTGTAATATCAATAGATATAATTTTGATATATCTATTAAAATCTAATGTGTCTGAAGTTTCCAAGTGTTGTTAAAAAGTATATGCTTTAAGTCATGGTTAAAGATATTAGGTTTTTACATCAAATAGTATCATACAATATTATGTATTGAAAGAAGGGCTGAGAAATATCCCGAAAAATTAACACCAGGTAGATAATATGGTTAATAACTCTATTAAGAAATAAGGATTCATATTAATTTGTATCTTTCCATTTTTAAAAAAAATCCAAAGCATAAATTCAAACACAACAATACTTTAGGTCTATGTTCTATATTTTACAGAGGAATTAAAAAAATTAAAAGCTCGTGAAAGAAAGTAGAATTAGATTTTAATTAAGAAAATGTTAATGTCAGCCTAAAGCTATGCTAAAATTCTGAATAAAACATGGCTACTGTAATTGGACCAGATCTGTTTCCTTAGGAAGTTGTTTCTAATTCTGAAGCTGCATATGTGCAAGCATAAGTGATGGAGAACGTAACGGTTGCCATGGTTAAGTACGCATCTTTTCTTGGACAGTCAAATGTTTAAAAAATGTATAAGGAGTTCTCATGATATGTTATGGAAATTGATTCTGCTTTCCTTACCACACAAGTTAGTATGATGCAATGAAGTAGGAGACAGAAATAGCCCACAGTTTAAAAAACTTCAGCCCATTAAGATGGCTTATAAAAAGTGGAGTAAAGATGATACAAGAAATCTCCAAGTCAGGTCACTCTAAATTAGTGTTGGGTAGGCAGTAGGTTCTAACTCCACTAAATTAATGAATAACCAGACCGTAGGACATTTCACAGCCCTCAGATAACACAGGAGTCCAAATGCAGTCCTTGCTAAACACACCTCCAGTATGCTTTTGTCTTGATAATCCTAAGGAAAAATAAACATTCCTACATCCCTACTTTCTCATTCTTTCCTAGCTGGGATCAGGGGTTTCCAGGAGGCAGGGACTTGAGTATCATACTGTCTTTTGCAAAAAAGATCTCCTGGTGGTTCCCTTAGAATCCGGAAGTCAGATTAATGAAGCCCAGGATAGAGGCGTGACACTGGGACTGGAGAGGTGGTAAGTTCTGTTTGGAATCCAGGCAGGTTCTGAGGCGCTGAAGAGCCCACGTGTGAAGGGGCTGGAGAACTTTTCCACCGCTTTCCCATTGGAAATGCCTGATTTTTAAATAGGGGGCCGGCTGGGGGGAGGGGTTAGACAGAAGGTGGGCAGTAAAAAAGAAATGGCAGAGGAGGTTTCAAGCCCTTCACAGCTTTTCGATTTACGCATGATCTTTTCCCCCTTTATTCTCACCTCTGGCCAACTTGACTATTTTGCCCTTTTATAGAACGACTTAAGCAGCCGGGATGCTAAGCATCTCATAGGCTCAGCCTGGAACAAAGAAAACCGAGTTCCTAACACTGTATCTCTCCCGTTGGAGGGATCACGTGTCCTGCTTTCGCTGGAATGCACTCTTCTCGCCCACGCTATAAAATCTCTATTGTGCTTAGAAATTTTGCTCACACACAAACTGCTTTTCATCCATCACGAGGGCTACATTTCAACGTATACAGGTACGTATATTTACCTGCTGACCCAGTTACCCCTGCAAGTAAATTCGGTATGTCCAAGGTGTATTGGGAAAGTAACCGAAAAGAGCAGGTGGAAGACCCCCGTGTGTCACCCATCCCACCCCACCCCCCTCGCTTTTGGAAGGAGAACTCCGAAAGGAACGTGGGAGTCGCAGATGGTTCCTTTCTGAAGCCCATTCCCGGGAGTTGTGAAAGTGACCCCTTCCCTTCTCCGCCTCCCGCTGCGCGCTCCCGCCCCCGCCCCCCCTCCCCAATTCGTTCCCTTTGTGCCTTGGTGGGGAGGAGGCTGCGAGAGAGGAAAGGGAGGAGAGGGCGGAGGCGGGTCCTTTATTCAGCCCTGATGGCCGAGAAGTAGTGTAATGAAGCAATTTTGCAGCCATCTCGTCTATTATGAAGTCACACTGTCTTTAAAAGCAATCCATGCACCCCCTACCCGCCGCCCCTGTTCTTGACTCCGCAAACAGTAAAACTGCAGACCGCCAGTAGCCAATCTAACTGCCCGCGAGCCAGGGTGCCAGGATCACCTTAATGCTAATGTGCTTCCCTTCTTCTTTCCTCGTAGGATCCGAACCAAGTCCTGCATCCTAAACGCCTCAGAAAGGAGGATGCAAAATGCTGAAGGGGGCCCCGGCTGGATGGGGAATAGTGCAGGTTCACCAGCTTCTCAGTGCAACACAAAGGAGATGTGCAGGCAGGAGTTGTGTAGCTCAGCGGAGGGGGCCATCATTCTCCCTGACTCCCAGGGAAAGCGTTCACCCTACCGCCACCCCACTTCTCTCTGTCCCCCAGCCTGTCATGGTCCTTCCTCCACTCCATCCCCACAAACCCCACCCTTTCCCACCGAACCCCAATGGCATAAAGATCTCCTAACTGCATTTGTCAAATCCATACGAATTAAGACAGTCATCCAACACCTTCCACAATAAAGGGACAAGTGCAACCTGCCACAAGTGTGTGTGTGTGTGTGTGAGAGAGAGAGAGAGAGAGAGATATTAAACACGCGCTTCATCCCTCAGACACCTCCTGGCAAAAGCAAACCGAGATGCCCAAGATAACGAAGAGGAGCTTTAGCCAAACCTCAGCTGGAGCAGTGGTCCCAGCACCAGCTCCCAACGTTCGCTCTTTACCTCTCCTTTTCGCAGTATGTAACCCTTTAGGGTCTCTCGCCAGCCCAGACCACTCGGTGTTCCCGTGCACCCGCCCAGTTAGCACCCAATTTCCAAAAGCCCTGAAACCTACCACATCCCCGCCGCCGCCTCCGCGGCCACCGTGCGAGCTACTCGGAACGAGCGCCCCAGCCTCGCGCCCTCCAGCCCCCGCCCCCCCCCGGGGGGGGAGGGAGACCCGCACCTCCGGGGAGACCCCCGCAGTCCCCTCAGTCACCGAGAGAAAGTGCCTTACTCACATGGCCGGTGGGAGAAACTGCCCATGAGGTTCCGGAGAGCGAGAGAGGCGCAGCTGCCAAGGATTATTCCTTAAAGTGCTCGGTGGTCCGCAGTGGAGTGGGCGCGAGGGTCCTCGCAGGAGGAGGAGGAGAGGGGAGGAGGAGGACGAGGAGGAGAAAGAGGGGATTCCAGGCAGGTGCCACGTTAGACCATGGTGCCGGTGCCCTTCAGGTGGACGGCTGGAGAGGTTCCCGCGGGAAGCGCCGAGGGGAAGCCCGAAGCGCCGGCGGGGGAGGCAGGAGCGCGTCCACTCCCCAGCCTCCGCCTGCCCTGCGCGCCGCGCTAGCGACCGCAGCAGCAGCGGCGGCGGCGGCGGCGGTGGCGGTGGCGGAGGCGCAGCTCCTTCCCCACCCCCAGAAGGCTCCACAGACAATAAATCCTGGGCGGAGAAGAGACGAGCAGGCGAGGCGAATCGGGCACCCAACTCCGTACCACGCTCTGCCCGCAGCTGCGCCTCCGCGGGGCGAGGATCCCCGGGGGCCGGAGCGCAGTGGGCAGCTCTGAGGGGGCTGTGCGCTCCCGCCGCTGCAGGCTACTGCGGTGGTCCGAGTGGGCAGCTGCAGCCCCCGCCTGCGCGAACCCGCGGCCGGGAGGCTGGGTGTCCGTGGCTTCAAGCCCGGGGTTCGCCCGGAGTGGGGTCTTCCTCAGTGCAGCGGCTCGGCGCACAGGTGCCAGGATTGGCAGGCGAGGAGGCGCTGCTCGTGGCTCTCGCCTCCCCGCTCTCCCCGCCCCCTCTTTTCCCACCCCCTTTTCCGACGACACCAGCTGCAGCTGCTTCAAAGTGTGAAAAATGTCAAGGAGATTTTAGAATGATAGGCGCAGGTGACCATATTCACAGCTCTCGGCCGCTTCTGAGGAAATCCTCGCTTGCCCCCCTGACCTCTACTCGGGCTTCCTCAAATTATGAGGAGAAAAAGCCCAGTCTGGCAGAGAATGGAAATGCTCGCCTGCTCCCGGCTCCGTCCACACAGCTTGCTTTTTGAGAAACGGGACCACAAACCGAGCTCTCTGGGGTCCTCCCGCTGACCACGGCGCGCGAGGCAAGGTGGCACGAGGCACCGGGCCCAGCAGCGCGCGGCTGCGGACTCCCCGCGCTCGCGGTCCAGCTCCGGGAGCCGGGCGGCGCGGCGTCTCCTTGCCGCGGACGACTGGGCAGGAGCGATTCCCGGCCTGAGCGCCTGCCTGCGCGCCTGGGCGCCCGCACCGGCTTGGTGACGCCGCGCCCGTGGCTCCGCAGGCTGCTGCTCCTGCTATCTCAGCAAACAAGCGGCCAGGAGCACCGCCTCGGGGGTTCCGCCCCCGCCCGCCTGCCTTGCCTGCTGCAGGTTGTTGGCTGCCAGGGAGAAAAGTCTCTGCTAGAGAGTCGGGTCGCTTCACCTCAGTAGTAGCAGGGACCCTTGCCTCTGCTCTCATGTCCGGTTCTCATTCTGAGTCCAGGGTTACAGCTCTGAGTGTGCATGGAAAAGAGAAAGGGGTTTCCCAAGTTCCTCTCATGTATTCCCTGCCCCTCCTCCTACCAAAAGCACGCGCCGCGCGCGCGCGCGCGCACACACACACACAGACACAGACACACACACACACACACATTCTCACACTTTAAAGTCTCAACAGCAGCAACCTGTTCAAGCATATTGATAAAGCTAATTTTGTATTGAGATTTTTATTCTCTGGTCACATCTGATGAATTCTATCTTTTCAATTGGAAGCAAAATTCCGGAATCATTCTTTTTGTGGAATGAAGGCTTTAGGTTTTACGTTTCATCAATACAAGGGCAAAATAATTTTTCCTTGAGTTCTGTGATCGCTAATATAATCAGACTTTGCAAATGCCACTCTGGAGTGTATGTAAGTTCGCATTTTACTAAAATGAATATGCACCGACTTGCTAACATCTTCAAGGTCAAAAATCTCTTTCCTGGCTGGTAGCACTCTTTTAGAAAGAGATTTTGGAGACAAGCACCTCATGTACAAAGAAAAAGATTGTTCTCTCACTTTATCTGGGTTACAAAGGTGGGCTTTTAAGGACAACTTCCCAGTATATCGTTTTATTTACATGTAGGAGGGAAAAGAAATGAGAGTGTGTCTCAAAAGCTGCGTAATTTTTAAAGTGTTACAAAGCTCCATGAGAAAGGGTTCTGAAATATGCAAAAAAAGTTAAAAGACCTTTTTTTTTTTGACAGGCAGAGAGAGAGAGAGAGAGACAGAGGGAAAGGTCTTCCCTCCATTGGTTCACCCCTATTGCCACACGCTGCACAGATCCAAAGCCTGAAGCCAGGCGTCTCCCCCTAGTCTCCCATGCGGGCTTGGGCCATCCTCCACTGCCCTCCTGGGCCACAGCAGAGAGCTGGACTGGAAGAGGAGCAACCGGGACAGAATCCGGCGCCCCAACCGGTACTAGAATCCCGGGTGCTGGCGCCACAGGCTGAGGATTAGCCTAGTGAGCCAAGGCAACAAGACTGTTTTTTTTTTTTTTAATCTGACCTCTGTTGACCTCTAGTTTTCATCCTTAGTTTTGTCCTTGTGAAAGGTTCGCTCATTTCAATGCCTCAGTTTGATGGAGTGATAAAAAATTTAAGGTACCAATTGGCATTCTGCTGAAGAAAGACAAAACAAATCATGCAATGACAGCAGATCTTTGTACATTTTCAACTATTTTGAATAAAATTCACACAATAATTTTGCAATAAATTTAATTCAATCATTTCCTAAGTCTATGTAATAGACAATGCTTGGAAGGGCTCAGAAGCTCATCTCAGAAAAGTCTTTGGTTGCTGTGCATTTGAACTCAGAATCTCTTATTTTATCCCCAGGATCCATTCACTTGTACCAAAACATTTGACAGAACTTCTATTTAAAATCATAGGCAATTATGAATAACTGCAGATCCCTCTCAGCAATACCCACCAATATAGTTTCCTCCTGTCTTTTAAGTATATTATACCAAAGTGAGTATGAACTTGTCCCCTTCCAATTGAAAAAAGATTATTGTTAGGAACTCTGACTTATGGTGCTGCTGTAATATATTTAGACCATTGGCCTCCTTTCCCCTTTTCTTATCCTGGAGTCTCAATTTGGGCCATAGAAATCCAAGTGGATAAGAGATTTAAAATATGTTCAAATGTGATATAGTGACTCTGAGTTTTAAGAAATGATATTAATAATAATGATGCATTAATTTTTATTGAATTTTTAAAACAACACATTTGTAAGTGATTTATCTTGATCTATGTCACTAAGGTCCATTAATGTTTATTTCTGCATGATAGCTGACTGTAGGAACTTATCTTATTCATATATTGATGATAATAGTGCTATTACAAGTAATGCTGTTATGAGGATGTTTGTTTATCTCTTTCTCTCTCTCCTTTTTTTTTTTTTTTTTTTTGACAGGCAGAGTTAGACAGTGAGAGAGACAGAGAGAAAGGTCTTCCTTCCGTTGGTTCACCCCCCAAATGGCTGCTATGGCCGGCACGCTGCGCCGATCCGAAGCCAGGAGCCAGGTGCTTCTCCTGGTCTCCCATGCGGGTGCAGGGCCCAAACACTTGGGCCATCCTCCACTTCCTTCCTGGGCCACAGCAGAGAGCTGGACGGGAAGAGGGGCAACCGGGACAGAATCCGGCACCCCAACCAGGACTAGAACCCTGGGTACCAGTGCCTCAGGCGGAGGATTAGCTAAGTGAGCCGCAGCGCCACCCTGTTTATATCTCTTTACATATGTGCACATGAGTTTTCCTATTTGATATATGATCTTGGATTGTATTTCTGCGTTATAGGATAGAATATATTCAATAAAAATTAATTTAAAAACCATTTCCACTCATACTAATATGTATAAAGCTTTTCTTGTTCCCACCTGGTACTTTGTATTATCAGGGATTTCATATTGTTCTGAAAGATGTGAAGTGATACTTTATTATGATTTAAATTCGTATTTTCTTGCTTACTTAAGAGCACATTTTACTAAGTTTATTTACCATCCACATTTATATTATGAAGTTTATTTACATTTGTTTATTTTCAGTTGCGTTTTCTTGATTTATATGCATACATGTGTGTGTATTTTTTACTCTAATACTTTGTCAGTTATATAATCTTTGATTTTGGCTGGTACTATGGTGTATTTTTATGAAAAGCAATTTTAATCTGTTAGAGTCAACTTTATCAATATTTTATGGTATGTTGTTGATGTCTACTTAAGAAAACCTTCCTCCACTAAGATTATAAATATATTTTTCTCTATTGTATTTCAAAATGTCTATTCTTTATCTTTCAGACTGTACCATGTAAAATAGGTTCTCTGATGTGAGGTGGGATTAATTCTATTTTTTTTTTATTTTTCCCCATGGGGTAAGTAATTATACTGCTATATAGTGGTCATATGTCAGTTCATTGGCCTATATTGAAGCTGTAATTTGGTCTTGTTTGTCTCTTTGTACAGTACAAGTGGAAAACTATAATTACTACTATCACTTCATAATTGATATTGATGTGTGGCAAGAACAATAAAGCTATTGTTCTTCAGAATGTTTTTGACTTTCTTCATCCTTTCTTTTTGTGCAATTAAATCTCAAGTATAGTACACATCTGAGCTAGCTTATTTAATTTTTATCAGTTTTCAGATCACTTAAAAATGGATTGTGATTTCACAAGACTTTGTTCTGTGTAGTGCTATGTGAAATTGTCAATTTCCTCTCACAAGAACTTCAGACTAAATTTATCATGCCAGAGCACCAATAGACATGTTGTCTCAGATAAAATCTAAGTAAAAAGACCAACAAAGAAGAATGAAATATCTTTTTTAAAAGTGCAGAAAGTTTACTAAGATGTTGCAGTATAAAAATTTCCTGAGAATGACTTCATCATCTTTAGGTAGTTTATTAATTACAGAAAATATTTTAAATACATTTTGTCATTTTAAAATTAATATTGTATAGTTAAAACAACCTAAAGGTTCTCTAGGCCTGTATTAATCTAGATACTTTTTTAAAGATTTATTTATTTGAAAGGCATATATATATACATGTGTGTATATTCACTCCAGTATCCAGGGCTGGGCCAGACTGAAGCCAGTAATCTAGAACTGTCTGGGTCTCCCATGTAGGTACAGGGGCTCGTGCACTTGGGCCATCTTCCATTTCTTTCACAGATGCATTAGCATGGAGGTGGATCAGAAGTGGCGCAGCTGGGACTCAAACTGTCACACATATGTGATACTGGCATTATAGGAGTAGTCTTAACCTGCTGTGCCACAACACTTGTACCTAATCTATGTCTTAAAATTAATACAAGTCATTATTATTAATTTTAAGAACCAAGTGATATAAAAACAGATAAAGAATTGATTTTTTCTAGCAAAGCTTTTTTATTGACACTTATAAATTACTTAAGAAATTCCAGTAGTCTGAAAA